CGCAAACTAGTATTTTACTTCGGATTATGATCAAAATTTTATAAAGTAATCGGTACGTCCACATCACATATCGCCTGCAACGCGACTGGCACGGGTACGCCGATTTCGGCGTAGTATTTGTTGCCGCATTTTACAAGAGCGCCGGCGGTATCTAGTCTAAGCGCGCGAAGACCTATCATTAATCTAAGATTTCAATATCTATATATTTGTTAATATCTTCGTTCTGAATAGAAGTCAGTACCCAGTATAACATGCAGGCGATTTATGAACGAATTTTCATATATTGATTTATAGATATATTGTATTATTTATGTAATATAAGTATTCTTAAGGTGAAACCATGAAGCAAACACAAAGCAAACTCACGGTGATCGGCGATTGGTTGCGTGGTTGGAGGGTGGGCGTTGCGCGGCAGTTTGTTTTTAATTTTACAAACGGCTGCGTAAGTCCAGCGGTGATTGGTCGCATGCTTTATCGCATGACGCAGTCGCTCGCTCCTTAGGTAGAGGACGGTTGCATCATCGGTCTGTATAAAAGGCACTTGTTTTGGCTCGCCGCTCACTTAGCGGTTAGCCACCGTAGAGTCTATATCACCTGAGGATGCCTCGTGTAGAGGCGAAACACGTGTCGTATTATCGTCAGTGGTGTGTCTTGCCTAGTGTAGTGGTGTTGGGAGTAGCGATGCTGGGATTAGTGGTGACGGGGATAGTCATGTAGCAATTAGCTTCATTGGTAAGAGTAACTAAAAAATCCTCGTCTCAGATTTCAACAGCGTATCGGAGTAGAAAATATAAACAAGTGTACGCAGAATATATAGATATTGAAATATATAGTTTTGATATCAGATATTGATATATTGATATATATCAGTGGTTGACTTATGACGTGTATGATAAATTACGCTCTTCATAAATAATATTTAAAAATGTAAAATAAACCCGGACTGTGCCTTTACAATCAGCCCAAGTCTGCTAATGTTTGAGCAGAGGGTTGCGGATTTAAATTCAGTTGAGTGACCTATAGTTTTTACAAGGAAACATCTTGTTTGTTTTACAAATTTTTGAAATCTGTACCCCAAAGAGCCGTCATAGAAAAAAGCAGCGGTTGCCATGGTGACGATCAATCGCCGATATTCGTATTGGTTGGCAACCTAGTAATACGTTACTGTCTACGGTCCACGCCTGCGCCAAAGAGAATATAACTACTACGTTTAGCCTGCGCTTTCCAACCGAGGGGAATTTATATGACATATATTTAGAGACATTTTCTTTTTCTTTCAATAATTTATTTATTCTAATTCTGTAAATGAGTGTGTTGGTGCTGTAAATACAATGTTTCTTTTTTATACTCTAGTTCTGTAAGTACATTTTATTGCTTTATTATATTTTTTTTATTATCTTTGTTTATACATATGTGTTAAATGTAATTAGGTCGAATGTCTTTGGCTGATAAGCTTTTCCCGAGGGAGAGGTCAGCGGCGACCGCATCACAAGACCACGTGCAGTGTAAAGACTGTTCACAACCACGCTTTTTCAAAGGGCAAAGAGGCTTAAATATTCACAAAATCAGAACACACAAGCCATTACAAGTTCAAGATTGCCTCCCACAAACAGATTCCCCATCAAACGAAAACATTTCCTCAAAATTAAGTTATTTAAAGTTCAATTGTCCAGTTATAAAAAGAATACCAAGGGGTGCAAGAAACACTGTAGCCCTCTCATTATCATCTTGTATCAAAGACATAATCAATAAAAATGTAATCAATAAAATTCAGAAAGTTGGAAAAAATTACTTACGTTTTCATATCGTACAATGCACGTTGCTAAAGATGACGTAGGCAATGGCATCTCTCTCACACAAAGAATAAAAGATAATTGTTTTAGCTCGCTAAACTCGTTCGACAAAACTAATCCACATGATGAATTTAAAGATAAAATTAGTTACAATATAATTAAAAAAACTGAATCAAAATTGAATGATGGCGATATGAGAGGTGCCGCTTGCCTTCTTTTCTCAAGTAATGCGTTAGCCCCTGACACTCCGGAAACTTTGTATTCCCTGAGGGCTAAACATCCACTCCCATCGGCTGCCTTAAATTTACCAGATGCTCCTGATCCTTCTGAGCGTACACTGGAAGCCACTGCTGAGAAGGTACAGGCTGCGATCAGTTCCTTTAGTAATGGATCGGCCAGTGGTCTCGATGGTCTTTCACCTCAACATTTAAAAGATCTTCTATCAGGTGCTAGGGGAAACACTGGCCAAGACCTTCTAAATGTATTGACTCAACTTGTAAATTTAATGCTTTCCGGAAAAGTTTGCCCAAATATAACGCAGATACTTTATGAGGCAAACCTGTGCGCTCTTAAAAAAAAGGATGGGAGTATTCGGCCCATAGCAGTTGGTAACACAATTCGCCGCATTGTTTCAAAGGTTTGCTGCAAATATATCCAGGCAGACCTAGCGGCCATATTCCAGCCTGTGCAGCTAGGTTTCGGATTAAAGGCGGATGCGAAGGGGCTGTACATGCAGCGCGCACCTTTCTGAAACACGGCGGCGGTGAGGTGCTACTGAAGATGGATGTTGAAAATGCATTTAACTCAGTAGACCGAGGCACTCTGTTGACACAGGTAAAAGAAAATATCCCATCCATTTACCATTACCTCTGGTAATGTTATAGTACACAATCTACACTCATGTACAAAGAACACCAAATTTTATCATCTGTCGGATGCCAGCAGGGTGACCCGCTCGGTCCGGCAATTTTTAGTTTAGCAATACATCCATTTATTTCCGGTCTCAAGTCAAAATTCAATGTCTGGTATTTAGATGATGGGACACTAGGAGGCGAAGCGAACTCAGTGCTTGATGATTTAACCAGTCTTATTTCTTCTTTTAGTTCTCTTGGCTTCAAATTGAATTTTTCAAAGTGCGAACTTTTTATTAGTGAGAATTTACCATCGTCCGAAAAAGATCAAATTGTTAACAAATTTAACTCCTTAGCCCCAAATATAAAGATAATAAACAGCAAATCGCTTCGCCTTCTAGGTGCTCCTATTCTGGATGAGTCCTTTCAATGTTTTGCAGTGAAAAGATTTTAAAATTTGAGGAGTCATCCAGTCATCTGAAAGAAATTAGCCCACACATGGCATATGCCATACTAAAATTTTGTCTTTTTGTGCCAAATTTTACGTACGTGCTGCGGTGTTCAACTCTTTGGATGCATGTCCCATTTTTAAATCGTCTCGATGATATAATTAGGAAAACTATGATTAAAATTCTAAATTGTCCATTAAATGAAAATTCCTGGGTTCAGGCCACACTTCCCGTTAGACTTGGTGGTCTAGGCATCCGAAGAGTCTCCAGCGTAGCACTTCCAGCTTTCTTGTCTTCAGTTCATAGCACGTCAGACCTCATTGGAACAATTACTAACCCATCACTCGGTGATGTCAGGTCTCCTGCTTGGCTGAGGCCAAGGAAGCCTGGAGCAATAACACAGGGCCGGACCAGGTTTTTCCGACAAACTCAACTTAGCAGAGGCTTTGGGATGAGCCACTCAATATCCAGGTTAAAAAAAATCTTTAATAAAACTGCGGAAACCCTACAGAGCGAGCTCGTCTCCTAGCTTCTGAGGAGGAGTCGGGCTACTGGTTAAATGCACTGCCCTCGTCAAATATCGGAACACTCTTGGATAGGACTACTTTCTCTATTTCTATCAGCCTGTGATTAGGTTTAAAAACCAATGAGCTCCATCGCTGCCGCTGTGGTAAAGAGGTCGACATTCTCGGACATCACGGCCTCGCATGCCAGCGAAGCGCCGGTCGCATCCCTCGCCATGCAGCCATTAATGACGTCATTCGACGGGCCTTAACCAGTGCCAACGTACCTGCAACTTTAGAGCCAAGCGGTATATTGCGGGACGATGGCAAGAGGCCTGATGGAGTGACGCTTATTCCATGGAAAAATGGACGCTCATTAGTATGGGATGCGACTTGTGTTGACACATTAGCGCAATCACATCTCGTGGCGACTGCACAGAAGGCAGGCACGGCTGCTGCTGTTGCCGAGTCTAACAAGCAGCGCAAATATGCAGCCCTCGGAGAGGGATACATGTATGTGCCGTTTGGTGTAAAAACACTGGGGCCGTGGGGTCCTGAAGCAAGGCGTTTGTTCAGAGATATCTCTTCACGCCTTGTCGATGTCTCTGGTGACCCAAAAGCTGGCAGATGTTTTGGTCAGCGGATCAGCCTCGCAATACAGCGAGGCAACTCAACTAGTCTTTTAGGCACACTACCAACAGACGGCGGCGATTTAGCTAGTATTTTTTACTTAAATTAAACTTTACATACCGTATAATTTTGTATAATATTTTTTTTCCTTTAATTTATATATTATGTTAATTAGAAGTATTTACGTTTTAATTTGATTTGTTTGTGTTGTTTTTTCCTTGGATAAATAAAGATATTGAAACTCGAAATCGAAATCTGATTTAGAATCTAAATTTGGATTTCGTGTGTGTCTAAATATTAGATACTATTCTCAGAAAACGCGACACGACCCTGACCTACCTAGTAGTTCATAATTTATCTAGAACGACTCATCGCTACTGAATCTCATGCCCAATTTCACCAACATCCCCTAAACAATCACATAGTTAGACGACCGCTAAGCTAAAAGGTCCCCTAAACCAACCCATAACTAAAATTTGTTTTCACGAACGCAACGGACTCATAGCTAGGGGACCCTTCCTTATGTGACCGATTTTTTACGACGATAGTGCTTGATACCCAGTTGTAGTTACCGGTTTTATCGGAAATGATATATATTAATATAAAAAATACGTATTCATATATTATTTTAATGAAGAAATTAATTCTTTATGTTTTCATTTTGTGAATATTTTAATAAAAATATCATATTTTTAGTCTACGTTTGACAAGTCACTGTATTTGACACTCTGCTTTATCTGTGCATTGACTGTTTGACATTTGTCTCTGCAAGTCACAGCTTCAAGTTTTCGTGGTGTTTTCGTTTAGCAACTCGTTTCTTACTTTTTATTTTATAATTATGGCCGAAAATAAGAGAAAGCGGTGTCAAAATTTCACGTTTGAAGAAAAGGATAAACTTGTAAAGTTAATGAATACACTTAAAAATGTAATATTAAATAAAACGACGGACGGTACAACAAATCAAGCGAAGAATGAAGCATGTGCACAAGATTTAATTCCACAGGAACCACGGCTAGGTAAGTTATTGATAAAAATAAATCTGTTGTTTAATAGTTGTTTTGAAGTTAAGTTGCCTTTACATCCAAACTTTATAGCTGTAAATAGTTATTATCATAATTATTATCTTGATTTTGTATATGTAATGTGTGTATTAAAGAGTTTCTATTTACTTACTTGAATGAGAAATTACCTACCTAATACCTACATTCTCAGTACATTAACCTCTTTACTATGATGTTCGTACTGAATTGCCTTTTAATAACGTACCACTAACATTTCAGAAGTAAAGAATCTCTTATGAGAGTCTGGGAGAAAATGAAGACTGATGCGAAATTATACAAAGCACTCGGCAAAAGCAGTCACAATGGCACAGGAGGTGGCCCATCATGTGTTAGGACAGATATAATTCTGGAACAAGTCAGTGACTTGATGGGGCGAGCACGTACAGGCATAACTGATGTCCAGGATTCAGATGCTGACCAAATTACTGAAGACAGTACATTACCAATACTTGGTGATGAGACAATGGAAATTTTAATATTTCAAAATGAAAATGTAAGTATTTATAGAATTCTTTATTATGTAGGTATATTAACATTAGAAACTGACTGACAAATAGTCCAAATGCCATAGCAGAAATCAGGGCAATAAGTTTGTTACATATTATAATATTATATAAAAGTAAGTTAGGTATATTATTATGTTTGTGAGTTATTATTTTATCACAGTCTAAGGTGATTTCTTTCCTACCAGTGGTTCAATAGAGGGCTAGATAGAGAATCACTGCGGGACGACAAAGACAAGATGAACTAAACTGGCAGAATTTTCAATACAAAATTATTTCTGTCATTTGTATAGGTGTCGACCCACTGTATGATTATATTATATTTACACTGTGAATTTTATATTAGAATTTGTTTTGTTACAACTTTAGTGCAATACAAGAAATGTGGAAAATATTGAAATTAAGGATGTTGGGAATAATAATGATATTGCTCCAACACTGTCATCACCAACATCATCTCAATTTATAAAGTCCACACTTATATGGAAAAAGCGACGACCAATAATTAAAGAAAATAAGGATAAAGCTGAAGTTGTTTCAACGCTATGTGGAGGTTTTAAAGATTTGAATTCTAAAAAGAATATTGTGGGGGATTTAAAAATTAAAATGTTAGAAGAAGAAATAAAATTTAAAAGAGAATTGTACCAGCTGCAGTTAAAAACAGCTAGAAAGGAATTGGAAATTAAAACTGAAGTATGCAGCCAACTAAAAAGTATATGTTTTATTCATTGGTGAAATTACTATATATATTTTACATAACAAATTAAATATTTATAAATTATCAAAATATTGGGTAATTTGATTTCGGCGAAATCTATATGACAAAGAAGGTCTGTCAGAAAATGCCATATTATTTATTTGTCCCCTTGTAATTAGCTCTTCCAGGTTAGGCACATCATCATTATTCACAGGCTGCTGCTCATTTCTTAATATGCATATATTATGCAAGATATAGCAAGCTATAATGACATTAATGGCATTATTTAAAGCTAAACGAATTCCAACCGCAAGTACTGGAAACCTTCATTTTAGCACACCATATTGCCGTTCCACCACATTTCTTGTTCTAATGTGGGCCTCATTATATTTTCGTTCTCCACTTGTTGTAGGGTTGAAATAAGGTGTCAAGAGATGAGGCTAAAAATAAAAATGTTTTAAAGTAATATTGTATATAATAATGTAATTTATATGATGTAAAATATTTCTTTTCTATTCCAGGTCATACTTTAAACTTTCAAAATGTATCAGGAATACCTAAAATGGTTCTGCAAATAGCTAGTTTAAGTATGCTTTTTAATTAATTAAATATCCCTTGCCTATGCATAATCTTTTTATTATATAATAACTATTTATTTAATCAATATTTTGAGCTCTGTGATGTTATGATGTTATTCTTCTTGTTCGTAATTTTTGTATTTTTTTTTGTAACCTACATAAGTTTTAATAAAGATTATTATTATTATTCTGGTTATTTTTTATTTTACCTTTAAGGGATAGCCACTATCCCCAAGTAAATGGCTGTCTCCATACTCGCCTCTTTCAAACTTTCTATAAATATAGCTATTTTGGTAGATTGCTGAATCTAAATATTTCAGCATCATCTCCACCTATAGATATAAATAATACTTCATCAGTATTGCTTGATAGACTACTAAGAGAGATTTAGTGAAAGGTAGTTAAATCAAAATGAGGAATTTACCTGGTGACTGAATTTTTACATGTGTACAATCAATACAGCCTAGTACTAGTACATTAGGGAATCTAGCTATACCATAGAAGTCTATCTTAACTCTGTCTTGGTCTCCGTTTGTATCAGGGAATATAATGAATTCTCGACGTAGGGATACAATTGCTTCAGACACTCTCTTTACTATCCGGCTGGATGTAACCAAACTAGTACCACCCATATCAGCCACAGCAAGCAAGTGATTGCCTGTGGCGTAATATCTTAAAGCTATTAATAATTCATTTATGGGTGGTATGGAATTGTTCCTGTAAAAAATATAAACTAGTAAGTGAATCACAAACTACAAATTAAAATAGGTAGAAATTTAAGTAGATTTACCTCAGGTATCAACTTACCATGGTAGGTAGGTTAGCACCAAACAGGTACCTACGGCCTACTTATACAGGCTCATTTTCTATTCAAAAGTTACTGTTAGGAGAGCAATAAAGGAGCCTTTTATGCTTATACCTTTATTTCGTAGCTAGGTATAATAGGTAATAAGTGAAAAGGTAGGAACCCACCCTTTAACTTAAATATTTAATAAACTACAGTTTTAATAATATTACAGACTATGGTACATACATTAAAATTGATTACATATGTAAATAGATAGGTACTCACCTATTATCAGAAAATTCCAATATATGTTCAATTTTTTCCAACAAATATATCACTGTTGATTTAGATAACCTATATCTTCGGAAAAAATCTATTTCATCGAAATCGTTGAAATAATTTGGTCGTTTTCGATATATTTTAGGTCTTCGACTACGATTTATATAAAATATAGTATCGGTCGTTTCTAAATTATCAAGAAAATCAAATAGATCACGGTCCATCTTGTCCTCTAGAAGTCGCTTTTACTTATGTGAAGCTTCATGGGACCAATAATCCATCTCATAAATTTAGGGGATCGTGTAGTCAGTAACGGACCCTTTAAAAATTATGAAACGGAAACTATCCCCTAACTGGCTCCTAAATATGCTAAGGGGTCCCATAAATCTTACGGGTCGTTGGTGAAAGTGGACATCAGACTCATATCTCACGGCATAAACAGCCGTGAGGTCCAAAAATAACAGTATTACTACTAGCCTTCTCCCGAAGTTGATTGTATAGTTCTACGCAGCAAACATGACAAATATCATTATTTGGAAACTATAAAACACTATCACGATATAAATGATATGTGGCGTCATCTCTCGATAAAGTGCTTCACTAATTTTAATGTGGTGTAACAACATTTATTTTTCATATGATTAACTAGATTGCTCTAAAGCATAAATAAATAAAATCGTACAAATATTTAGTAATTGTTAACATGACGAATATTGTTATTTCACCTATGAAACACTATCAAGATATAAATGACATGTGGCGTCATCACTCGATAGATTACCTCACTAATTTTAATGTGGTTTTAAATTTATTTTTTCATATGGTTAACTAAATGGCTCTAAAGCATGCTATAAAATAGAATAGAATATATATATATTTTTTATACAATACAAATTATTATAAATAATTTTTATTGAAAATAAAATTATACTTTTAAAACTGTTTCGGAAAAACCCCTACCCTAGGTAGCTTCATGGGTGAAACATACGGTGTGCTCCCGGCCATATTCCCGCGAGATGGCGCTGAAGTCAACATTTTTTAGTTTATTTGGGTTTTTGTGTAATTGGAACATTATTAAGTCGTAGAAGTAACAATCGCTATACTCGGACATTATACTTTATTTTACTAGGTCATATCATTGCTTCAAAATCCACACAATTCCACACAATGTTCAAAAATAACATCTGTCATTGAATATAGTGTCGTTTACACACACTAACGTGGTCCTCCTAACACAAGTTTCTTAACTTAAAAGGAGTGTTCCAATAATGTATTTAATTTTAAGTATTACTGGTTTGAGAATAAAGATTTTTGATATTTTTTTTTTGATTTTTTTGAACTCTTAGTCCCTACATTTACGAAAATTGAAATTGAATATGGCGTGAATGAAAAAAAATGTTTTCCTTTTTTCTGTATGGGTAGGCAGAAGCAGAACTACAGAACGCCACTTGCTAGGATATATTATATTATTATGTACGATTCATCATCTGCCTAGCCTTTTTCCCAACTATATTGGGGTCGGCTCCCAGTCAAACCGGATTCAACGGAATACCAATATTTTACGATTATGTTATAAAAATAAAAGTTATATTTGTAAAATGAGCCGTGGTAACTCAGATAGTTAGCACTCGCTGTAAGTTTCACAGTACGCGAGAAACCCGGGCTCGATCCCCGCCGGCACCAATGAAATTGTTAATTGCAATTTTAAGTGCTGATTTACCACGTGCTCGGCGGTGAAGGAAAATATCGTGAGGAAACCTGCATGTCTGACAAATAAGAAAAAAAATATTTCGAAGAGATGTGAAGTTCGCCAACACGCAATTGGGCAGCGCGACGGAACGGAACTTTCCTTGCCCCAAAACCCTCTCAGAAATGAGAGGCCTGTGCCCAGCAGTGGGACGTGTATTTAGGCTGTAAATTTTTTAACTTATATTTGTAGGCGTAAATAAACTATTTAATTCAATAATAATCTTGGAAAATAAACTATGTCAACACTAAGAACAATAAAACGCAGTTTTATTTTATAATCTTACACTATTGAAATTAATGATTAAAACAAGTATTTGAAGCATTTTTTTATACAAAATTTACATTTATTTTACACAGATAATTATTATGTAATACACAACTTTAAATTAATCTCAAAAAGACAAAAAATGATCGTAGCGACCGGGGACTGAACCCTGGTTTCTAGAACATTATGTTAAAATTTTTCCTAAATTTGTTAAGAAAATAACAAAAGTAGGTAATTCAACCGGTGAATCGAACCCGGAATCATAGATTATTGTCTTAAAAATTCCCCTTAGGTGGCTACTGACCTGCCTGCCACAGGGGCAATCTAGGGTGTAGGAGTGGGGATGACCCTTTATTGCCTCCTTAATTGTGATGTGTGTAGGCAAGCAGGGGCAATTTTTTAAGTCGGCACTGCGGCCTTCGATATTGCTCCGATCGCTGTGCTCCCTAGATTGCCCCTGCGGCAAGCAGGTCAGTAGCCGCCTTTTATGAATTTACTAAGAAAAATATTGCTAAGATAACAACAAAAAGTAGTTCGACCGGGGAATCGAACCCTGGACCTTAGGATTCGAAATTTCTTTAAAATTTTACTAAAAAAAATGAAGTACGAACGAATGAAGGTATAACGGTAATCGCTCACTTGTTCTAGCAGTATAAATATCGCGCAGGCGACTGGGAGGCATCAGTCTGATATTCTACAAGTCTCGCTATCGTTTCTATGTCCGTTGGGGTATTCTACTAGTGTAGGCAAGGGATATCGTGTTGCTGACAGGCTTTCTTGTGTTATGTTGAGATGAGTAGTGATGCTGTTGGTTTGCATACTTTGGTGTTATCATGTAATTGGGTCCTTATATAAGCATAGCTTGTTACCCAGTAGTGTCCTTTCGTTTAAATAACTAGCTGTTCCCCGCGACTTCGTCCGCACGTAATTTATTACGATTGGATTTCATGGGTTTTAATTTTTTGCACGGAACCCTAATTCTTTTTCTAAAAGAAAAGTAGCCTAAGTTAATTCTCATAACATCAGCTATCTCCAGTGAAAGGCCGGTCAAAATCGGTCCAGCCGTTTCGGAGACTAGCTGTTCCCCGCGACTTTGCCCGCGTGTTATTTGGAGTTTTAATGTTTATGCGCGGAACCCTAATTCTTTTTCTAAAATAAAAGTAGCCTAAGTTACTCCTTGTGACATCAGCTATCTGCCAGTGAAAATCCCATCAAAATCGGTCCAGCAGTTTCGGAGATTAGCCGGAACGAACAGACAGACAGACGGACAGACAGACATACAGACAGACAAAAATTTTAAAATTGTATTTTCGTTATTAGTACCGTATATACTTTCATACGCATTTACGCATCATTATAAACAGACATTTCAGTTTTATTTATTTTTATAGATTTTAAGAATAATTTGTAACATCAGAAATGGAATAATTTCTTTCAATTGTATAATTTAATGTAGAATTGTAACAAATTATTAAAAATCAAGTTGCGTTGTCATCACTGTGGTTAGGGTCAAAAAGGGACTTCGGTTTCCACAGAAAACACAGGAGCGTAATGCTGCTGCTATTTTGCATCAGTATTCTGTGAGAACATGATCCTACCTGCCCTTACAACCACAGGCTTACTTTACCATGTAACACCTAACATTGTAAACAATCAAGAAATTAAGTAGTTACATACATTAAATATTTTTATGTGAGAGTAATGCTGAAATAGTTATTGTTGAAATATTTATCTGTATTTTCGTACTTATATCAGAGTCTTACACCAAAAACTTATGATTCAGTCAACATAAAAAATTTAAAATTCAAATTCTTTATTTGCTAGTAAATACATAGGTACAAAAATATTTTGTACTTGGTGTTAGCACAAGCTGTTGAGAAAAACCTATTTAGCTGTTTTTTTTTAATAGAATAAGTATAGGTAAGTGGTTGCTGTTGACCATAGACATCTACATCTATCTTCGTTTACGAATTAAAATGCAGATATGTTGTCAACCGTGAGGACTGAGATATAATGTCTCTTTTCAAGTAAAATGGGTCTCCGGTTCTCTACACTCACCATACGAAACACAGCAGCGTTAAGCTGCTATTTTACGCTGGTATTCTGTGAGAGCGTGGTCCTTCCCCGGTCGAGCCGACCCATTCGTGCTACAACTATACTATTAATGTAGCTGCAGCATGGCTCTACCACGTGCTTTTCAACAGCATGCCAATATCCAAAAGTTTTTTATAATATAATTAGTTACT